GAGTTGATTTTTGTGACTGGAGTGAGGCAGTGATCTAGTTTCATTTTTTTGCATGTAGCTTCCCAGTTTTCCCATTGCTGTGCTTTTTAACCCGCTGTACCACCAGGGAGGCCCTGGGTTTATTTCTTTAGCTCCTTAAATTTTAAAGCTAGGATTTGATGTCATTCTTGATTTTTCTTAATGTAAATGTTACAGTTATAAACTTCCCACTCAGCACTTAATTCGCTGCATCTCACTAGTTGTGGCACGTGTTGTTTTCATTTTTATTTACCTATAACTATTTTCTAATTTGCTTTGTGATTTGTTCTTTAATGAATTGTTTTAATTGTTACTCAGTTCCCCTCCCCCCCATTGTGTCTTTTTCAGTTTCACTTGTACTGTTGATTTCTAATTTTTTCATTTTGATTGAGTGACTTTGTAGTCTAATAGTGGGTGTAGTTTGTAAATTGGCCATGTGCATTTAAGGTAATTTTTTGTGGTGATGTTTACTAGTGTGTTCTGTACATGTAGAGCCTAGTTGCTTTTTTTTTCTTTTAAATTTTCTATTATTTTCTTGTTGGTCTTTACATTATAGAGCATGAGGTCTTATAATATCTGATCTTTTCAGCTATCTTTGTGTTTGGATCCAAAGCGAGGGCACAAATTTTGATCATTTGTTTAATATATCGCTTTCTAGCTAAAAATTAAATGTAAGGATAAGCATAATAAGGCAATTATTATGGATATATACATGTTCTGAAGTGGCAACAATATAAAATTACAAAAAATATCATTACAATAGTCTGAAAGCAAAAGGTATCTTCAGTAAGTTTCTTTTCATTCCTCATGCTTATTATGTACTTTTAAAAGCTGTTTGCCTAACATCAGACTATTTTTTGCAAGAAACATAACTTGTCACGTCTTTATTCCCAGTTAAGTCATCGGTATGAAATAGTTGTCAATTTTATAGATAAGGAGGATAAATAAAAATTTAATTTTAATTAAAATGAAAAATGTTTAATACACATAACTTATAAGTATTGATTTCCTTTTATTTTTCTTTTAGAAGCATGATCAGGGGCAAGTTCTGTTGGATATAGTCTTCAAGCATCTTGATTTGACTGAGCGTGACTACTTTGGTTTACAGTTGGCTGATGATTCCACAGATAATCCAGTAAGTTCAGCTGTTATGTTTAATTCTCATGTTAATTTTTTTCTCATGTTAATTTTTTTCTGTTTGTAATTTCTGATGTATAACATTCATTAATTTAGTGAAGTTTTGAAATTCGAATTTAAATATTTAGAGATAATTTATCCTTTATCCTTCATTTTCTTGCTGTTTTTATCTGTAAGGTTATTTCCTTAAGATTTGTGTATTTAGAAGTCAATCTGTATATTAGCGGCAATGCTTTAATATGTGTGTCAGACAATTGAGAAGAAGTAGCTCTAACTCATGCATCTTAAAGAGAAAAATTGGTAAGAAGGTTAAAATTTTAATTTGAACATTATTAATGTTGGCGTACTAGAATGAAATATTTTAAAATGTTAATGTATCTTGAGTCTTATCCTAAATTAGTCTGTACTAAAATGAAATTAGTTTTCTTTGCTGCATTCAGGAAGAGCTGTTTCTAACCAAAATTCTTAATTTGCTAAGTTTAAATTTTCCAAGTAGGAAGATTCAAAAAACACTTTCACAAATGAGGTAGAAATTAAATTTCAGTACTCTACAGTTCTTGGCTATTAATTTACATTTCTTAGATAGTAACCAACCGCAATTGCAATCTTAATTCTTTTTATTAGAAAGATCAAGTAATACACAAAGAAGATAGCATGTTGAAGTCTTTGTAAATCTGTATGTGGTTATACTGCATGGGACTTAACAGTCGAATACAGTACCCTTTGATTAATACAGCATGACTATTTTGAGGGAAGCATTTTGTACAGTTTGGAAATTTTGAGAAGCTGAGGAAATGGCTCTCTGAATTAGTGCTTTAAAGATTAGTTTGCAAGGACATGTTAATAGAATAGTTATAGAAAATACAAATAACACTTATAAGAAAAGTAAGATTTCTCTCTCTCCTACTCTTTTCAACTTCTCTTTTCCTCATTATTCTTTCTATATCTTTTCTATTCCTCTCTCATTGTAGGGATCCTAGATCTCTGAATGAGTGGTTATTTGAAAGAAAATATGAAATGTTAAATATTACTTGTCCTTATTATCATTTACTGATTTTGCATGAAAAACTGAGGATAATGTGGCTGAAACACACTGAAGAACAGCTAGTCTCAGTAGAAATGTACTTTGGTATAGAAGTAAAAGAAAGACACCCATTTCATATTTTGATGCCTTTACCAGATGACTTGAACTTCACCTTGAGCCTAGAGGAATTCTGTTATTTCTTTATAAAAACATGTAAAAGTGGGAGATGATAGAAATTAGTAGTATGAGCTTCTCTTGAAGGTTAAATTATGAGCCAGGCAAATATCTTAAAGGTATCTGTTATATCTCACTATGTGCAACTTTGAGATAAAAGCATATATAATTCTTAAATATGTTGAGGGGAGTCACATCTCTGACCTTCTAGCGATGGTCAGACCTTTATACTGATTGGAAAAGTGTCATTACGCAAAGGACATAGAAACCATATTCACATCATGAATATGAATGCCATCATTCCTAGGATCGTATTCTGGATGAACTAATAATTGAGATGATACATATTACAAAAAATAAAGATTCTATCCCACAGTTTTGCTTAAAAAAGACATTTCTACCCTGAAACAATTAGAGCAGAATGCATGTAATTGCACAAGAGGTGTTGTAGCATAAGGGCTGGGAAGATGGTTTAGGGGTGCTATAGTGGTGGGAGAACTAGGGGGACTATACTTGAAATAAAATCAAGTCCTGTCCAAAAATTATCAACAATGTAAGAAAATAATTAATTACGAGCAAAAAAAGAGTAAGTGTCTTGAGGTCTTTTGATTTTTTTTTGCTTTGTCTTACTTTCCTGTCTTATGCATGCCTTCCCAGATGAGGTATATTCTGTGGTCCAAGGGCCCAGTGCTAAAATTCAAAGTAATTCTCCCCCCAAAATTATAATCATAGAATTTAAAAAAACTGAAAGAACCTTAGAGACTATTTTGCCTAACAACCTTATTTTTCATGCAGTTTCTGAATCTAAGGCAAATAAGCTCCACCTACTTGCCAGCATTAATAAAACTAAACTTGGATCTTCTCATTTTTCATACAAATCTTTTGCATGCATACTCAGAAAAAATTAGTGATATGGAAAAATGTGTCCAAAGAAGGACATTTAGAGCAAAAATGCCATCTATAATGTGCCATTTCTAGTTGTTAATATGAAATATATCAAAATTTCAGGATATGTGCACTTGTAATAGCGATTTTAAAAGGAAGTATTAGTTGAATTCATGGTCCATTAAGTGTAAGTTACACTGTTAGTTTTCTGTGGTTATTGTGTTACAATATGTTCTTTACTAAAGTGCTGTAAGTCATTCTGCAATTTTTCAGACAAGGCAAACAAAACCATAGAGATGAAATAACCTCTGGCCTAGATTCATTTTCTAATAGCCTGTCTAACATTTTATCTGAGAAGTTGAAAAGCAGTTTCAATTGTAGCTTTAGTGCTTTGGATGAATTTTAAGAAATTTTTTCTTGTTGCAAATTTATTTTTGATGTTGCAGTGTTTAAGAAGTTGTATGTGTAGAACTTTTGAGACTTTGGAAATAGCCCATTATTTGGAAGTGCAAACTCCCTAACTTCAAACTATAGTACCAGACTATAGTAACCAAAACAGTATGGTAATTAAATGGAAATAGACACACAAATATGTGGTATAGAATTAAGAGCTAAGAAATAACTCTATAGCAAGATGGACAGTTAATCTATGACGAAGGAGTCAAGAGTATACAATGGAGAAAGAAAAGTATCTTTAACAACAGATGCTGGGAAAACTAGACAGTCATATGCAGAAGTATGAAAGTATACCATAACTTCTGTCATCCACAAAAGTTAACTCAAAATATATTTAAGAAATGGATATAATACCAAAAACCATGTAACACATAGCAGGGAAAAAAGGCAACAAACTCCATAGCATTGACTAAATGGATGTTTTGGGGTATTTGACCCCCAACAACAAAGGAAACAAGCTAAAATAAACAAAGAATTATATCAAACTAAAAAATTTTGCATGGCAAAAGAAACTATCATTAAAAAGGCATGTTTCCAAATAGGAAAAAATAACACATCTGACAGGGGACTAATATCTAAGATCTACACATAGCTATACAACTCAATAAAAAGAAACAAAAATTCATTAAAAAAATGGGACAGAATTTTAATAGATACTTCTCCAAGAAGATATACATATGGCCAATAGGTACATGAGAAATGTTCACTATCACTTATTACTCATCAGGGAGGTGTAAATTCAAACCACAGTAAGAGACCTTCTCACTCTGTTGAGAAAAATCCTTAGCAGAGATGAACAAAAAACCCCAGAAGCAACAAATGTTGATTGGCTAGGGTGCCGAGGAAAAGGAAATCTTTTATACGCTTGGTGGAACTATAGACTGGTCCATCCTCTATGGAAAACAATATAAAAATGCAAAATATGAACAATAGATATGCCTTATGAGCCTTATGGTCCAGCAGTTCTACTCCTTAATTTAACTCAGGGAATGCAAAATCACTGATTTGAAGGGGTATGTGCATGCCTATGGTCATTGTAGCACTATTTACAATAGCCAAGCTATGGAATCACCTAAGTGCCCAAAGACAGATAAGTGGATAATGATGATATGGCATATATACACGATGGAATACTACTCAGCTAAATACAGATGAAATCTTGCCATTCACAGCTATGTGGAGGGAACTAGAAGAAATTATGTTAATCAAAATAAGTCAAAAGGAAAAAGACAAATATCGAATGATTTCACTAATATGTGGAATACAAAGAAACAAAAGAAACAGAACCAAACCAAACGAATCCTAGAATATGACTGGAGAATTAATTAAGTCTACTGGAAGGGGAAAGTAAAGGGGAATAGGGACCCAGTGGCCTATGCTCAAGATTATGGGTAGCTCAGTGTGGTGGGTGTGGTATGGTAACATATACCTGAATATGTGTGAACCTATTCCACTAAATCATATACATAAGATGTTACTTCCACAAAAGGAAAAAAATCATCCGTTGCCCGAAAGTCACTTTCTTCTTGTGGAGATTGATTCAGAAGATTGCACCTTATTGTAGTGTTGTTTATCCTATATTTGCTCATTTCTCTTTAGATGCAGTCTTTGAACTGGCATAGTGTTCGCTACTTGTAAATCTATCACTCCTAACTGATACTTTGAAATATTTCAAGCATACGGAAATGTATAGGCAAAAAACACCTAGATTACAAAATAATACATCCTGAGTAAGATGGCAGAGTAGGAAGTTTCAGGGACATAAAAGAAAACACAGTAGTCTGACTAACCAACTGTAAAGGAGCTCTAGAAGAAAACAGAGATCTACAACAATTAAGCAATTGATCAAGAAAATACCACATCCAAAATCGTTGGAAATGTTATAAAGTTTTACTTCTCCTTCCGCTAATACTTTCTCCACACGCACACTGTAGTCAGGAGGAAGCAACACAATTCTTGGTTTCCTTCCTTGGGACAAAAGATGCAGGTTGGAACTCGTTTGCAATACTATGGTCTACCTGTTGACTACCAAAAGGACTGCTGTTTGTCTCAGAGATTCAACCGGGAACAGCAGCATTATGGTTTTGTTCTCAGGTTATGAGCCACAGAGGACTGCACACCCAGGGACATGGGGTGTAAGCATGCAGTCAGAGGAAACAGTAGAATCTGAGGCTTTTTAGAAGAAACTGAGGTGAGATGCTTTGGTATTTAAACATTTAAAAGGGGTCTGGGGAAATAGGTAATTGATAAAAAAAAAAAAAGCATTCATAAATTCGTAAAGCACAAATGCCCATTAAAGACCCGAGGAGACTTTAAATTTTCATACTGGGCTGATCTGAAGGTTTAATAATAGCTTCACTTATTAATGAAGATATTACAGACTGAGGCATCAGTATAGAGCTGATGAGAGGGCTGTTTTTCAAGGCCCAATTTTCATGCAAAGAATACTAGAAATACAA